AAACCCACCATAATAAATCTTTAGGAACTCTATCATAGACTTTCTCTATGCCAATAAAAACTATATGCAATTTTTTTTTTCCTATACTTTTGCATTAATTATCTTAATAAATAAATAGCTTCTATAGTTGATCTTCTAGGCATAAAACCAAATTGATTTTCAGAGATCTTTATTTCAAGTCTTATTCTACTTTTGATAACTCTTTCCCAAAGTTCCATAGTATGACTCGTGATTTTAATTACTCAATAATTTGAATAATTTTGTATGTCACCTTTATTTTTGTAAATTGGCATCGAAAAATTCTTCCTCCATTACTCGGGCATCTTTTTGAATCTCATGATTTTGTTAAATAAGTTAGTTAACTAAGCTACTCCCTTGTCCCCTAAAATTTTTTAGACATCAGGCCCTATACTCTTAGCTATATTCATCTTTTTTAGTGTATTTTTTACTTCATTAGCTCTAATTTTATTAATAAATATATCATTACTATTTATTGTTAAATCTAACTCTTATGCTGAATATTTTTATTAAATAATTTATAAAAATATTTTTTAATCTTTCCTTAATCTCGTTATCATTAACAAGTATTCTTTGATCTTAGTTTTTAATGCATTTAATATTATCTAAATTCTTATACTTTCTTTTTCTAACGTTAGAAATTCGATATATATCTTTTTCACCGTCTTCAGTACCTAATTCATTATAAAAATTATCATAAGCTTTATATCTTGTCATACTAATCATTTTTTAGCCTCTTTTTTAGATTCTCTAATATCTTTTAAATTTTTTCTCATTTTTACAATTCTGCCAATCTTTAAAATATGATCTTTTAGTAAAAATTATTTTTTGAACTTTCTTGTACCACCACTAACTGTCTCTTAAGGTTGCATCCCTATCTTTAGTTTCACTAAGAATCTCGTTTGTGAAGCTCAATCTTATTAGCCATCATAGTCCAAAATCCAAATGATATTAATATTATCCTCATCTAAATTCTAAGTTGCCTCCCCTTCTATCTTATTCTTAAAAGTCTTTACATTATCATATTCAAAATTTCACCATCTAGTCATAATAAATTTTTCTACTATCTTTTTCTTCTTCCATTTTCAACAATAAATATTGAATACCATTAACCTATATTGATTTGTTAAACTTTCGCCAGGTATAACTTTACAATTCTTACAAATAACTTAATCTACCTTTCTAGTGAGAAAAAAGTCTATTTGACTAAAGTTGTGATCACTCTTATAAGTAATTAAATATTCATCTCTCTTCTTAAAGTGAGTAAATATAATTATAAAATCATACGAAGTTGCAAGATCCAAAATCATGCCACTATCTTCATTTCTCTCCTCATAATCGAAGCCCCCATGCACCCTTTTATATTCACCATATGTTTTCCCTACATGACTATTCAAATCTCCTCCAATTATAAGTTTTTTGGTTATAGGCATTCTTTAAATAATATTATCTAAGTTTTCTTGAAATTTTCTTTTGGCCTGATCATCCAATCCGAGTTGAGGAGTATAAGCAAAAATAACATTCAAAACATTTTATTCTTTCATAAATTTTAGAACTATAATTTTATCTTCAAATCTTTTACATCTATAACATTGTTCTTAAAATCCTTATCAACAACAATTCCTACACTATTTTTGTGTTTAACTTTTTTAGTATACCAAAGTTAAATTTAGTATTATTAATCTCTCTAGATTTTTTTCCCTACCCACTTGGTCTCTTATAAGCAAATAATATTTATTTTTCTTTTGAATATGTTGTTTATCAATTCTAATTCCTTCTGTGAAAGTGTTCTTGTATTCCAAGTTACTAACCTAACTTTTTATTTTTGGACTAACTTCTTTACTCTCATTGGTCCAAGACAATTAGAGAACCCTTGCCTACTTGGCATCACATCCGTGTGCTGATATGATGAGCCGCTTCCAAGCGACCTCTTAGCCCACCATTTGTAATTCGGGACACCTAGGTGGTGAAGGTGCCTCGCGTCACTTTCGGATGATGACCTAGCTCTATATTGAAATAAATTAAAATCCATATTCATGAGATTTGACATAGTTTTATGTTGGTTGTTAGTGACCTAACGCAGCCCTCCACCTTTTTCATCCTAGTGTGGGACCGACATTAGTGGTGTTATTCTTCCTTCAATATATTTCCCAAAATTTCGTAATATGAAATTCCTCTATAAGTATAACAGTTTTGAATCTCTCTCTTATTTCTATAAATTGGTCCTGGAAGGCTTTTCTTGCATTCATCATATATCTTTTTAATTTTCCAAGTTTTCTTAAATAAACAAGTCAATCAAATTACCCATTGATCTTTTAAACTCATTCAAATCTCGATAGGATGCCATCAAATCCTACATTCTTAGATAATTTCATCCTCTTAAAGCTTTTTTCATCTAATTTGCACTAATTTTAAAGCTATTATTTTCATACTTAACATTGTTTCTTTCTTTGTTTCTAATATTATAACCAACAGTGACTGGTCTTTTGTATAAATATTGTCCATCATCAACTAAGAAAAATTTACTGACCAGTGATGTCATTCAATGACTCAAAAGAGTGATAGATGGAAGTGGTGACTTTTTTGCAGTATTCTTCTATCGTATGAACACAGACAGTTAAAGCATTGAGGGTACCGTTTCCCAGACATAGAATGTATCTTGAATAAATTTTATTTTCTTAGTACAGTATTTTATATCAAGGTGATGAAAACATAATGTTTTCAGATAGTATGGTAGAGAGAATTATCAGTTACAAATAAAAAGGATAATTAATTATCAGGTGTGATTTGTGTGCCATGAAACATGTCATGGTTGAGATATTTGTGAAAGATCGAAACACACTTTTTTAAAGTATGCAATATACTTTTCTGTATGATGGGTGGATCTTAAAAGATGTTCAACGGGAGGGTGGAAACATTTGTTTAGCTTCTCTTTTTTTCCCCTGCTACTTAGCTCACTTGAAGAAATATGCTTATTAGATTTCTACTTGTTGGTTGTAGAATTCTTTTGAAGCTTGAAATGATGGAATTTCCACTTATTCAGTTTTTTTATATCCAGTGTGATGATATCATTCCAATTAAAGTAATTTATTTAGAAGGTTTGATATAGTTTTACAGCCTGTTTTCTTCGCTTCATTGCAATTTTGGCCGATGATCTTGACACCATTCTTTTCTTGTGGATGCAGTTTTACACGTTTCTTGAGACAACTCTTGTCACTCTTTCTCTCTTTCCCCATTTTATTGCCTTCTTTAAAGATGTGGAGATTCCTGGAACACCTGGCACACTTGCAACTACTTTTCTCACATTCGGTATGCATATTCCTATTTTGCAATGCAGTAGCTTCTGTTTCTAAACAACTTTTTCTTTCTCTGTTGTTGTGAATGATAGTGATTTTTTTTTGTTAACGTTCTAGTGTTGAATTTGGCTTTCGCATTAAGTGTGCTTGGATTTCTGATCATGCACGTATCTTTGGTGGCAAAGAATACCACAACTATTGAGGTAAGTATTGGCAGTAAAATACTGATGAATCCTGATAGTTACAAGGACAAACATATCCTTCTGTCTTCAGGCATATGAGAAGAAAACAACTCCAAGATGGAAGTATGATCTCGGCCGAAAGAAGAACTTTGAGCAGGTTAGTCATTATGCATCATCATCATTTTTTGTCCCTCCTATGTTCAATTACTTTGAAGGGTCAAAGACAACTCGATAGCAACATGATGGTACAGAGACTAGACCAGACATTTTGCAGAGTAATTGCTATATGAATGATGACAGACACCTAAAATAATAGGCGAGGTGTATACTTTTCTTATATACGTTTATGATGACACTACGAGTTATTTGCTTGGATTAGGTATAAAAATATGGGTTAAGCAAAAACAAGTTGGCATTAGAATGAGAAGAGATGGTAACACTTATTCTCTTGCAATCCTTCTAGTATGAATGCTATAGTTAAAATTTTTTTCTGTGGATCAGGTGTTTGGAGCAGACAAGAGGTATTGGTTCATCCCTCTATATTCTGAAGAGGATCTGAGAAGAATGCCGGCTCTGCAAGGACTAGAATATCCCACAAAGCCAGATCTGGATGCACAGTAACTTTAGAATGCCGTGTCAGGAAGAGTTGGTGGGTTCCTGCGTATTCCAAGGAGGATTCAGAAAGAATGCCAGCTCGCAAGGATTTGAAATGAATTCGCCACGCCAGATCTGGATGTACAGTAACAATAGAATGTCAATGTTTACGATGGACTTTTAAGCCTGAGGTTGTAGATCTGTAAATGTCGACCATTGGCATTGTGCTGTTGAGCAAGCATGTCTCTCGTAACAATCGTTTCTCACTTCCGAGATTTAACACTGTGAAAGCAAGACAGGTTGAATGAAAAAATTAAAACCATCAAGATAGTTTTTGAAATCTATTTTTGAAATCTGTATGGATGGCATTTGTCAATCTAAAATTTTATAATTTTATTGACATATTTTTAAATAAAGATTTAAATATTTTTATGAGTTTTTACAGATATTAATGGTAGTAAAAAAATTCATGTAATCGACCTAAATGATTAAGATTTAATAAATTCATGTATCAGATTTTTTTTTTATTTTTTTTTGACCCTGTTACTTCAAAAAAAAAAAAAAAAAACTCGATACACCAAAATTGAAAGCACCAAAGTTGCATGTCTTATGGAGCATAAACGTACTAATTCTCAGCTTAATCTGAGAAACATCACAGGTTTTTTCCTTTATTATTATTATTATTTTTGTCAGACAAGCCATCGGAACCTCATGCAAATCACTATTTAGGGTCCCCTTACTTGCCAAGAATATTATGCAAATCATGTAGAACCAGATTTTCGAATCTTTTAGTCAGCCACGAATATTATAAGATTAAGTTTAAAAAGTGATTCTATTTTAATTACAAGCTGCGAAACTAGTGATTTTATTTCGGGGAAATTGCCTTTGCTTTAGCATATATAAGCCTTTCTTGTTGATGCTGAATCACAATGGAATAATCACCGGTACCAAAAACACATTCTTGACCAAAAGCGACATCTTCCATGAAGATTCAAGTAGGTTGAACCTATTTAATTTCACATTTTACTGAGCATCCAATGTTATCAACTGTAGTTAACAGCAATTCTGATGCATCACAGATTACAAGCTGCGTGTATTGTCTTTAGTAACTCATGTATGATCGTTATGAGACTCAGTTTCCGCTTCATCTGCATCCTCAAACCGCTGATCGTTGATTTGAAGCTGCAAGAAGACAAGAAAGAGAACAACCAGCAAGTTAGGATACCCAAGAAATAAGCATAGCATCATAAATATAGAAGAAAGTCTCATCCTTCACGTCCCTAGTTCTAAGCTGTACACATATCTATGGTTGACATGTTTTGTATCATAAAATATTACGTACCTACTGCTTGCAAGTGTTATACATATGAAAAAGCATGTTAGGTGGAAAACAATCAGTTTCCATAGGCAGTTGTAAAGAACAAATTAAGGAATTTATAGATGAGTTCAAATCCACCCGAATATCTTCAATCCACTTTGAAGGTTGATCTACAGGAGCACTTTGCCAAGGCTACAAGTGAACTAGGAAAATTATGATTTATGTCCTCGCCATATTTCACTCTGTGGAAGGGCTGTTTAACACACCATTCTTAACTATGGCAGCTCCATAACACAGGAGAAAAGAAGACAAGGATTCCCTTTTTTTATGTAAAACAGAATCATGTTAAAAACACAGATTGGACTAGTATGTACCAACCAACATTTATTGATCATATATAGCTCAGTATTGGTACAATACTATTTCATTTATTATTATTTGATTTAATAATAACAGGTGACACATGTCATAGTTGCCGGCATACAGTGGCTACAGTACTAGCCATGGCTTGCGTAAGGCAATAACAGGACAAAAAACATTTTGTATCATGAAACCTTCCCTTGTCCTTTTCATTCCCTGCTGATGCTCACTACCTGTTCAAAGCAGATTCTAACGGCACGATCTATGCCACAAGTGGTGTCAAAATTATGGTCTGTGATCATATCCAGAGGCCACTTAGAAAGAGGCCTTCCAAACTATCACAATTAGCCATGTACTGCTCTTCTCATTAAATAATGGTTGGCCTTGGATAGTGGAAGTAACTGGGTCTGAGAAAGCTTTGACTATTCAGACGCAAGTTGAATACGAGGTCGAAGGGATGCCATGGGGTAAAGGGTTGTGAGAACGTACATCATAATAAACTTTCCCTCTCAGACACACCTTGTCCACACGACCCCAACCCCAGTGAGAAGCATAGGGCGATACAGCACAAGAGCTAATCACCCCTACTTCTTCTTCCCTTCGGCATCAAATTTTAAGCAAATCTAGTTCTTAAGTAAGCTCCTTAAATGAATTTTCTTTATGTCTTATGATCTTATCTTCTTGGTCTAGAAAAATATACCACCTGTGTCAAATTTGGACATGTAAATTTTATATCTTAGCTGTGGTAGACAATATTACTTCCCCAGCCCACTGATTCTAGATCTTCAAAGTTGTTCACAAACCATGAAATACATGCACTTTCAAATGCTCATTGTGTTCATGTTCCTTCTGTCTATGCCAAATATTGACACCTATCAGATACTTCAGAACCCACATAAATATTGTCGAGATTTGGATTTGCTAATATATCATATAGAAGAAACTTTCTACAAAAGGCTCTTGGACATGTTGAGTAGCAATATGAATGAATTTTGGACCTTGAAATCGTAACAAATGTGATTCTCTTATATGTTGTTCATGCTTTTGGTCCTTTGGATGATAGTTGTTTATGAGAATGGATGTATGCTTCTTATGAGATGTACATAATGACAATAGATTGCAATATTGGATTAAATCCTACTTAATATAAAATAATAGCAGTTTCATAAATGTTATATTTACTAATTGCAGTGTTGAGACCATGTAGCCTTTTTCTAAGAACTGTCGTTCCATTACATCCATATCCGTTCATCTCTATAAGCTATGTTAAGATTATATGGCCATATGTAAGGAAATCTCATGCATTGTCTGAGCTAAGAAATATGCAGACAACTGACGCATTGAATGAGCTAAAACAAAAAAAATAATATTATATCATAGCATGGTGGACATACCTCATGCATTGCATGAGCTAAGTCATGATCTCCATAAGCATAACCAATGGGTTTGGCATGATTTTCTGAAAGCTGCCACTCTGAATCACTTCCTGTAATTGAAAAGAAAACTTGCTTCGGATTTTGTTACTTAATCAAACTATAGAATGAACATAAAGTGCAAAGTGTTCATATGGTATTTTGATTCAACTTACCATTATCAGCCGTTTCTTCATCGCCAAAAAACCAGCTATTTTCTTCCTCTCCTTCTGAAGAATTATCATTAAAGAAGAATGAATGTACATATGCGTACACATAGTGAAAAAGCAAATATTATGACGTTAGTACCTTGACAAGGCTCAGGGTTTAGTTTAGCACATTGACATAAAGCGTCAAAAAGAGTATCCACCATAAAGCTTAGTCAAGGATCCAACCAAAATAAATAAATAAATCACGAGTATAAAATGCAACAGCACATTAGCAGGCTAGCAGATGCTTCCACGGGGCAAATAAGATAATCATCCTAAAAGATAAGATTTAACATAATAGGAAACCCGAAGAGTGTGTTTTCCATATACCATATCATGAGTGCCCACATGAAAACATTCAGCATATAGACATGACAATCTATAAAAACATATGTTTGACAAAAGAAAGTATGAAAAAGCAAACAAACAGCATAACATTTAAAACTTGTATTCTTATCTTGAAGAAACAAATGTAGACATCAAGAAGGATACACTGACCAGGACCAGATGGTACAAGTCTTATTTCAGTGACATTTGAAAGTTCTAAATTGTCATGACGCTCTGAATCTGAGCTTTCAGACACCTCACGATCTTCGGTCTCGATCTGTATAAGAATTCAAAGCATTAGTGCTCAGCAGTAAAACAAGAACCACCACAACAGCCAGAAAAAGTTTAAATCCCAATGATGTAACTGACGAATGTACCATTTCTATATAGACTTTTACGAAGACGTTAAGAGAAATGGGGAACAATCAATAATAAAAATGACACTTTTCCCGAAAGACACAAAGAAAACTCTTCCTTCAGGTCTCTATTCTATGTTCATGCGTAAGAAGGATTCTAGCTATCGAAAGTTGCTGCTTTTATACGCGACAGAAATAGCTCTGGTGAAAAACAAGCCTCCCGGTCAAAAATTCCCAACCCTAACGAACCGGACTCAGCAGTAGGTCAAATACCAGAGCGTAGATGCAGGGCAACGGGAATGCCTCTGGATCCCTCGACACTGCGTGGAGGGAAACCGACAGGAAATCCACCGCATATCCTTTCACCTTGTCTACGTCGCTCAACCAAATCACCCTCCTACGAACCAAACAATCAAGAAGAAACTGTATGAAGGAGCGGGGGATGATTTGGGAAGGAGACGAGGAGGAGGGAGAAACTAGGGTGAAACCTGGTGGAGATATAGAGTGTTCCGCGGGATTCCAGAGGTCGGGAGCCGAGTGCGATGGCGACGCCCGGCTCGACGCGCAGCAGCTCCTCGCCGGATTCGGAGTCTAACCGGGGATGTCCGATCCCATCGCCAACGCGGTCATCGAAGTGTTGCAGTCCTAAACCCATGGCGGTGTCGTCCCGTTTTTTGTCACCCACTGCGAGCAGTATCACTGTCCCGCCGCTCTTCAAGCTTTTGGTTTCGCAAAGCCGCGAGTTTTGGGACCTCACCGCATCGACGGGCTAATTACATGTTAAGCTAATTATATAATCTTTTATATAATTAATTATCTTTAGACTCAAATGGTGAATCAGTTTAATTCTTCAATCATACTATTTAAAAAAAATACAATAAGTTTATTCAAAAAATGATAATTGATTTTTTTTATTTGTCTGTAAACTCCTAACGATACATATTTTAAGCTCCATTTTTTTAATAACCTAATTTCTAATGAGTTTTGAGTTTATTTTCTTTAATTATAGTGTGTTTTATAATCCTATCAAAAAAATATTATAACTAACATGAAAGTCAATATCTTATTTTTTTTATATAAGATGGTTGTAATTAGGTTTTGAGTTTATTTGTCTTGGATATAATAATTTTAAATAAGCTAATGGTGTTTTGATGGAGGTACCAAAAATATTATAACTGATATGAAAGTCTTCCTATTTTATTATTATTATTCCCAATACGAATAGTTTTGAGTCAATTTGTATGGATTATAATATATATATATATATTTAAAAAAATTATAATATTTTGATGATCACCATAATCGATGATAGTGTTAAGTCTTTTACATGAGGGATTATGTTAGTTTATTGGACATTTGAACTAAAAAATTACACTATGTAACGTCGAGGATATTTGGAAGACCATGGAAAGGTGGGGCACCACTTGAAAAAAATTAAAAGAAATCACCCTTTTTACAGCAGCTTCAACTTTTCGAATCCATTTATCTTCCAAATATTGAAACAAATATTTGCATACGTATTGTCGACTTAATAAAATTTATATTTAGGCTAATTTTTTCATTGCTTATATTAAAAAATATTAAATAACAATGTAAATGCATGTAGATTTATCCAAAATAAAAAAGGAACATGAAAAGCCCAATTTGAATTATTTAAAGAAACATCGCAGTTACTTACGGTCATTTGGAACAAATTTATATCCACCTTTTTGAAGAAACATAATAATATTCAAAATGATTATATTCGTCATTTATAGGAAAACATATTATCAAATATAAGGATAAATAATACGTACATATATTTTTATTTTTGATACAGATGGATTTGGTATATGCTTTAGTACAATTTATCCTAGAGAAACTGACAAATAAATATTTTTTGATCATATATCGCTTTTTTTTAATGGGATAAGAAATACTTTTTTAATAGTAGGGCGATTTTGAAGCCCTCATCAGTCGGCGTAAAGAACCGATCGCAGTTTCGAGCCCGGCGACGGGAAGCGCAAAGGGGAAAACGCCGTCGGAGATGTTTTCGGCGCTAAAGCCCCGCCGATGGGCTGCCTGTCTCTTCGTCTATCCTTCTCGCGCTTTCTCCGCTAGCAACAGCTTTTACGCCTCCTCGATGGCCACCGCTGAAACGGCTGGCGCGGAGACGGGGCTTTATGGCTTCGATGTCCTCAAGACACCCAAAGGCTTCCGTAGGTTTGTCGACGAGGCCATCCAGAAGTAAGTCGAAGCCAAATGCTTAAGACGGAGACATTTCGTTCCCAGTCTGTCTCTAAACCGTCTATTTATGTCATCTTTAGATCTGGGGAGCTCGTTACGTATATCTCTCGGCTACCGCCGTCGATGGAGATCATCCGGGCAATGGACGAGATCTCTGATACTGTATGGTTCCATATAATTTCTTGTCCTTTTTGTTTCTGGTGGTAGTGAGAATTGTTAAAGAGTTCTGTCGATGCTTGTTTGTAGGTATGTTCGGTTATTGATTCTGCGGAGCTGTGCAGGAATACTCATCCTGACAGGTGATCGAGTAGTTAGGGCTGATTCTTTCGTTACATATGGTTTTGATCTTATTTGTTTGTTTCTCAAGACAGTTTATTTCTGATGTGTTAATACTGACTTAATATTCTTGCAATTATGATCTTTAGGGAATACGTGGAGGAAGCAAACAAGGCATCAATGAGGATAAATGAATATCTTCATGTGAGTTTTATCCTGTTGATGATCCCCTTGTTTGGTTTAAATCACTGTGAAGGGTAATGTGGTTTTTACTTTTAAAGCAACCTACAAAAGCAATTGTCATAATACATATGTTCTTTATTCATCTATTTATTATGGAAGAGTTTAATGCTATATCACTACATTTTTTAGCTCCCAATGGGCCAAAATCATACTCTTAAATCATGGTTATCCTAAAAGGATATGATTTATTTCCATAAAAGGACATTGTATCATTCTTGGCCCTACCGAGCAACAAACTTGTTAATGATTAAACAGAAATGCTATGTACCATGACTTGGACCCAACTGAAGGCACAAGTTACGAATTTGGGTTGCACTTCCCACTACGCCACCATTAATGGGCTCTGGATGCCTGCTACTCTGGTTGGTCAAGACTTAAATTATGATTTGAGCTGCAACCTATTAGCATTGTTATTTTTAGACAACTTAGCCAACAGGAGTAGTGGTTCTTTTGGCCCATGCTAGCTTTTATGCTAAAATTTTTTTTGGTTTCACTTTGTTTTATTCACAACATATGGACTAAATTTGTTTGCTCCAAAAAAGCTCATGGTAGCTTGAAATGCTGTTCAAATGGTGAAGATGCTGTTTTTTGGTGTATTTAAGATCTTGGGACACTAAAATTTGGTGATCTGGCCACAGAGGGTAATGATTTGGACCTTGGGATTCTCCTTTGGATGATGCTTGGCATGCTAAACTCTATTTGGTATCATAAGTATTGGCAACACATACCAAGAAATGAGATGATTCTAGTGATGTTGGTGATGCTTGGATGGTTTTTGAATGCTCAGTGACTAGCAAGGCTGAGGCCTTGCTCAGTCGAACATTAGAGTCTGTCATGTCGATGACCCCGCTTGGCTGATATTAGCCATGAAAAAGATTCCACAAAGACACACATAAATCCACGAGACCCAAACATGGCCCTGAATTTGTCAGTTGGGTCCAGCTCTTGACCAACCTAGTTTAGGCTTAGTAGGGTTATGATTAGGTTTAATCCAACTCTCTTACAATGTTTCACCCATTAAGTTCACCTTGTCCTCAAGGTGTTGGACTGGGATCATGCTAGATGATGTCTACATTGAGCTTTTATGTCTTCTTTTCATCTTTTCATGAGAGAATGATTTTTGATGTCAGAAAATAATTTTGCTATGTTGGACTTCTTCATTCATACATCTTTAGCAATTAGGATTTGATCAACGTCTATGAGATCAGTATTCTTAATTTCAAATATGTTAGGAATGTGCTGCACAACAGTTTGTTTTTGATACCCTTGCTTATCATCAGTTGATGACATGTGACCAAATTTGATGCAATAGGGAGTACAAGGGCTCAGATTGAACTGGAAACTCCTCATAAACTTATTGACCTGTTGGGGAAGTTTCCAACAACTAGTAGCTGCTGTTTTGTCGCAAATAAGACATATAGCTTTAATCCCAAAACTTTGCTTCATTTACTGCAAGCTGAAATTTTCATCTCACTGCTGAGACTTATCTTTTTCGATATGGAGTCTGTTAGAGCCTCTGAGAGAGACTTTAATACAAGAATGTGGCTGAGTAGGTGCTGGAGTTGTCAAGGATTCTGTTGCATTCACCAGTTTCTTTTTTTCAACAGATTTGACTTGTTATGGAGATGTTATGGTGATTGCCATGCATGACATGACCATGGTTGAGTGCATCTTTGGCCTGCTTGTCTTTACATGTATTGACTTGATTGTCAATGCTTTCGTACCTCCGTGGTTTTCTGTTATCTAGGATGTCCTGACCTTTTCCTGGATATAACTTTTTAAGTTGTCTCTGAAGCCATTCTGAAAATGTGTCAACTGACAACCAGAAGTTTGCAGAAGTAATTTCTTTTGCATTAAAAGCCATGAAGGAACTTATCATAATATAATCCAGAAACCCTAAAAGCCATTGATCTAGGCATATGTTCAAATATATTATTATTTTATGTCAAAGATTTCTTGTAACGACTTATTTTTTTTCAAGTAGCACTCATCTTTTTGTTCTATGTTAATCTTCGCCTTTTACTTGTAGTTCCTAAACACAAATGGTAGTTTGTACACTGCAATAGTGAAAGCTGAGAGTGAGCGTGTCTTGCATACAGAAGAAGCTCAAAGAGCAGCACATGCTTTGCGTGTTGACTTTGAAAATGGTGGCATTCATCTTTCTGATGGTAATTAACTTTATGCTGGTGCTTTTTTCTTTATTATTATTTTTTTATAATCTACAGTCATGTGTTTCATTTGTCGCAGATAAACTACAGAGAGTTAATCAATTGAATGTCGAGATCGCTAGACTGGGCAATAAGTACGTATCATCCACTACTAACTTATACTCTTGAACTTCAATCAATTTCCTATTGATACAAAGTATGTATTTTGAAGCTACTATAGTTGGTTTTTGGACTTCATGTGTCTTATGTATCAATCTCTCCTGTACAACTAAAACAAGATGCTCAATATGCAAAGAATGTAGTATCCATCTTGAAGTAGGTAATTGACAAGCCACAAAGTGCAAAAAGGAAGCAGATGTTCCTTAAGCGAACCCAAATGAGTGAGGACTAGCTGTCAAAATTCAAATTAGATATCTTGGTAAAATGAAATTGATCTTGTTGCCTGATAATCATACAGATATCCCTGCGTCTAGGACCTTTATATGCAAAGATATCTCAAATGATCGTTGATAAGGGATCATTTGGTCGACCGGCCATTGGTGCGGCCCGTAGGCTCGCGAGGACTTGTCCGCTTTGGGCGATAGGCGTACCCGCACGGTTTTGTCCTTTCGGAGCATGTGAGCTCCAAAAGGCGCCTCTGAGGGTAAGGAAGACCTGGCGGACTTATGAGCCCTTGGTTTCCATACTTTTCAACCAATTGGGACTAAATGACTTTATCAGTGCTCCCACCTGTAGGGGAGCTAAGGGCTCATAGCCAAGGTACACGGCTCAGGAGCAAGTTTGCTCGGTCGAGGTGCAGGCCTCGGGCCCTCCTTCTAGTGCCAAAATGTTGGTGAACCTTTACGCCGTGGCCGAGGTGTCAGCACGGCTCGGTTCCAGTCCCCGACGTACAAGGTCGCCCACGTGGGTGCTCGGGTAGTGAGGGCGAGCGTCATGTCGGGTCGGGTTCGAGCCTCATCCTCCGAGCACGGTCTTCTCTCTTGGTGAGTGGCCTGCTTTTTTGTCGTTGGGCTCCTGCACACAGGTCGAGGTCGGGAGGGGGATTTCTCGACTCGACCCCTCCGAAGCTAAAGTTAATAGTATGTATGAGAGAGTTGAGAGTTCGAAATGTCCCCTCTTCTTGATTAGGGAGGGTTAGCTTTTATACCTGCGAGGATGAGTTGGTCGTACGGGGTCAATTTATTGCGGTCGGCTCCTCGGGCGGTTGACTTAAGCTTCTGTACGAGCACCGACTGACCTGCACGGCTCGGCGCCGCCCCGAGCTTTCCGGGGTGGCTATACTATGATGATGTAGTTCATATGGAGGGGGCGGCAAGTGGTTGCTCGCCACATGTGTGCTGTGCGCCACATCGTACTTGAGGTTCCACGTCTACATCGTCGTGTCTGCTTGCTTAGATCCACGCGGGCGATGCCAAAATATGCCATATCAATTGTCATTGTAAAATGAACTATAATGAAAACTATGGTTCCAAATTGGTTGGTGGGATATAATGAGGGGTGAGATAGATTGAGACTGAGGTGGGATATAGTCCTAAATAAAAGAAGCCTGAACCAGCTAGATGGCCCAAAAAGGACTGGTCCTATGCCAGATCGCCATCAGACCAGTTAATGCAATCTGGTACTGGGGGTATTTAGCAAGGTTCATAACTCTGGTCCTGTACCAGATAAGGCTTGAATTAGTACAGTATTGGTCCATACTGGTATACCAAGTGTTATATGTCTGTATGTATAGTCTTATAAGCGTACTGCTAGGTTTATCTTGATTTAGCACGTACTGCTTGGTTTACCTTGATTTTGCGGACTGCTCGGTTTATGTTGATTCTGTGCGTACTGCTTGGTTTATGTTGATTCCACACAGACTGCTCAGTTTATGTTGATTCCGCATGTACTGCTCGGTTTATGTTGATTCTGCACGTACTGCTCGGTTTATGTTGATTCCATGCGTACTGCTGGGTTTATGTTGATCCCACATGTACTGCTCGGTTTATGTTGATTCCTTGTGTACTGCTCAGTTTATGTTGATTCCACACATACTGCTCGATTGATGTTGATTCTGCGTGTACCGCTCGGTTGATGTTGATTCTGTGTGTACTGCTCAGTTTATGTTGATTCTGTGCATACTGTTCAGTTTATGTTGATTCCACATGTACTGCTCGATTTATCTTGATTCCATGCGTACTACTCGCTTTATCTTCATTCCACGTTTACTGCTCGGTTTATGTTGATTACATATATCAACAAAATGTTGGACCAAAAAATATTGCCCTTGCAAACCTTGATATTTAAAAATTTGCTTAAAACTAAAGAAGTTAAAATATCTTTTTTTTGTAAATTTTGAGGCTTGAATTTATTTTTTTTTTCTTAAAGTAAAAGTTGCACCATGGTATGCTAAACTGACCAGTTTGTTTACCAATTGACTGCCAACTGATACATGGACCAGCCCTAACCACATGGTCCTGTCTCTATATGTAAATATAATATATTTGTTTCTTTTAACTGGGGTTCAGCTCGCGATGTGATGCCTTGTAATGAGTCGTTAGGTGGTCTTCCGTTGCTGCCCACGCGGTCATTTCTTGCCACACGTGGTGTGCCACTGCTCGTGCGCCTGTCACTCCAATGCTCCTCCTCCTCTTCCTCCTTTTTATTCTTCTTCGTCACCACCCAGTGCGGTCGTGTACTGGTATGGGCCCAATAGCCGAAGCAACAATCCTTGAGTCTCATTATAACTTGATGAATGGAAAAACATGTTTTTAGTGGCCAAAACTTAGGTGCTAGACTTGGTGTAAATGCTCAAATCAATCAATTAATTCTGATTGACTCTGTTAATGAGTGGAGTACGCAGGCAGCAGTTGGGGCCAACCATTGTCTGTTGCTGCATGTTGTCATTCCTCTTGTTGGAGAAGAAATAACAGAAATAATATTTTGAATTTTGATTTCTGTTTTTTTTTTTTTTGGTTGGGGGGTCGGGGGGATGGGGGATGGGGGAGTAGGAGAAATAACGGAAGGAGTATTAGTGGCCTTTAAAGGAATATTTTGCTTTAAATGCCACTAATGGATGCTGCCATCAGTTATTGACCCCTCTTTCACTATGATTTCTACTTCTTTGCTAATGTTGGGGCAGCAAAACGAAGGGGGACTGAGAGGGGAGTGGAAAATTGGAAGGTGAGAGTGCAAAGACTCTGGGAGGGGGAGGGGTTAAAGGGATAAGATATGTCAGGCCCATTATTTTGTTATTGCAGTATTGATCTGGCATAACTTGGCCCTCCAAAACACTTATCTTGTTACTTGACTTGCCATTTAAGCAATGAGAGCTGGCCATAGAACAAGTTCTATGTAGTTATTGGAAAGAATTGGAAGAAAAGATGGCTGTAAGTTATGCATGAAAGGGTCAACAGTAATTTGTTTTTTTTATTGGCAAGTGACAGGCCTGTCCGGAATCGTGTTTCTATTTGATGTGCTCTGCAACCAAATACAGTTTGTATAGTTGAAACACACGACCAAATGCTTAACAAAAGAAAATTGATTGTTTTGATTTTAATACTGCAGCCTCACATGGAATTAATTAATTTCCTAGAAAAGAATTTTGGGCTGATGACTTTTACTCCATGACGCCTTTTCTTTTTTTTTGTTTAAGTTGTTTAGATGAAACTTATCTTGAAAACCAAGGATCTTACATGGTGTCCTTAGTTTAATTGTATTATCATGTTTCAACTGTTCATAAGTTCTCATATTCTTTGTTGTGTTGATGGTGCCTAGCGTGTAAGTGATGCTCATGGGAAAGTTATATTTAGGTATTTCTGTTTTCCATTTTGTTTTTTTATGTATAAATTAGCAAATGTACTGCTTGTCACCGGGTACTAGCTTATTTTTTATGCTCTTATCAGGTTCAATGAGAATATTATGTTTGATCCAGGTTTTGTGGATATATTTCCAGCTTCACGCATACCAAAGAACATGCAATATCATTTTGATGCCATATATCGGCCAATCTCTACTGCATCAAATGAAATTTCTAAAGTAGGAGATACAAGAAGAGAAAAGGGTTATAAGATCCCTACAGATTCAAGTACTTTATCCTCAATTTTGAAATGGGTATCAGATGCTGAGGTATATTCCCATCTTGACTTGAAGCAATTGGATTGTAGTTTTTAAATTTTATATTGTCATCTTTCCCCCAAAAACCTACTGAGTAATATGGTTTCCTCTTTTTTGACAAGATCATAGAATCTTATGTTTATATGGTTTCCCAAAACCGTTACAATAGGTGTGGATAGAAGGGGATTGAATGACTATTATGAATATGGGGCAGAGGTCAGTAATGAAAAACAATAGGCAGAAATATGTAGAAGGGGAAGGACTGAAAAGATGAGGGTGAAAATAACAAAACAAAAACCCTGACCTGCTGCAGTGGTATGTTGTGTTCTGAAGCTGTTGCTATGGAACTTGTGTGCTGAAGTCCCTTGTGTTTGAGGGCCCAAACAGCCTTCGGCCAAACCCTTGCTCTTTTCAAATGACTGTAGCCTACTTTTCTACTTCTTGCTCATGATTGCCTATTACCCTCATGCCAAAGGACACTGATGCCTAAAGCCTTATTGACAACTTTGCCACTACTTCTTGTCATAAGATGATGGAGACAAAGGGAAAAGGGAGATTATGGAAAAGGGAAGAGAAGGGAAAAAAATGGTTGGGGTTTGCAGATAAGTATACTTTATAGGTCCTCTAGCAGCATTCACATTTTTGTTATGCTATAGATAAACTTGAAAACTTTATGATATTGTGACTTCTTACCTCTTTGTGTAAATTTATTTAGTTCAAGGACTTCTTTGGTTAAAGTTTTTCTTTCTCGATTTTGTGAAAATTATCTCAAATGTTTTTTAGACACTAATATTCTTTGTAATATTTGGTTTTTTTTGTGGTTGCCACCCAAGAAAAATTTTATATTAGGCAAGCATTAAAAAATCCATTTTAGAAAATCACTTGTTAAGCCAGACAAGAAACACATTTTTTGAATGTTTGCAGGTCAGGAAGCAAGCATACATAAAGGGAAATTCTACTCCACGTGCAAATCTTATTGTTCTTGATAAGCTTATAGGTGCTCGTCATGAACTTGCACAGGTACTTTCATTATGAAGCTTCTAATTCTTTGTAACCAGTAACCATTTATATCAATTTGATTTTTAAATATTACCCACTTAAAAGCACAGACATGGGACACAAACACACAGACACGCCAGTTTTTAAAAAATTAGGACATCAACACAGTGAGGACACGTGCATATTTAACATATAATATTTGATTAACATGAGTTTTATTTTATTTATACTTAAATTTTACAAAACTTAATAATGTGAACATATAAATATTGTCATACATGTTCATCTAAATATAAGTATCCAAAATAAAGGTTGAGGACATCAAATAATATTTAAAAATCACTAGACTTATTCTCTACGCCATTATCATCTCCATCTGATGATTCATCAACATTATCGGTAAAACTAATTTTTTCAGCTTTGGTTCATCAATTGGAATTTGATAAATTACATCATAAAATAATGAAGATTCATTAATTTTTTTCCTTCATCTCTATATATTTTTTCTTTCACTTTTTCAATCATACCGTTCCCATGTCATATACTTTGTGTCACAAAATCGAAGTCTATCATAAATAGGTCTAGTGAAATCAAGAATATAATCAATATTGTCTCATATGTTAAATATGGTTGTGATTGATGGTAGAACTATGTTTCTGAAGGTAGTAGATTGCATAGGAGAAACAAAGAATAAATATTTTCTTTTAAATTTGATAAAAGAAGTTATCAATGAGGTTGGTCATTATAACACAGATTATTGAATCATAATTTTTAAATATTTTTTGGACTCCATGTGTTATTCATATTCTTTATCCAACATATTTGTGTAGCAAAGAATATTGAACAAAATCAGTTAACATGGATTATTGAGTTTGTTATGAGTCGTTCTATGAGATTGGTCATATTTAGTGAGTTTGTGCCATGGAAGTGACTCTTTGTAGTTGGTAAAGGGTTTACCTCAATAATTGTTATGTTTAAAATGTTTAAACTTATTAAAGGTGGGTTATTAGTAATAAGGGTTATTAGCGACCAATGGTCATGTTATGTACAAGATTTGTATAGTAAAAGGTGCTTGATGATATTTGGTAAGACAATATTGATTGTATGCTTGTTTTCACTGGACTTATTTATGATATGCTTAGGTTTTGTGACACGAATAAACCATGTGTTCATTTAGTATATGACATGTAGGACAATATGATTGAGAAAGTGAAGGAAAAAAAATTGTAGACATTAAGGAAAGAAATTAGACGATTCTTCATCTTTTTACGTTATTTATCAAATTCTTATTAATTGTTGGACGAAGAACAATACTTCACTTTATTGCTTGGCTCATTCTTTGAATCTCATGTATATATTAATTTTGATTTTTAGTTATATTTTTTACATAATTAAGTATATTGATGATTTTTTTTTTATTATAAATATTATAGTGATGAATGACGATAAGAGGATCCCATAAAAAGATCTAAAGGTCTCTCGAGAAAGACTAAAATGTCTAAGAAGATATTATTCAACCAAAGAAGAGAATATGTGTCACTGATGAATATGCTAACTTCTCTAGTAGAGTTGGATACTTTGATGATTATGATTCTTTACACGATCATTACTTTATGAATCCTAAAAGTTGGCGGGTTACATTACTATATGATTATTATTTTGGATACTTACATTTGATGATTTTAATTGTTTCAACCTGTATGATGATATTTACTTATTCATATTGTTGAATTTATAAAATTGAAGTATAAATAGTATAAAATTCGTGTTAATCAAATATTATATATAATTATATATATTAAAAAGATACACATGTCCTTGCTGTATCTATGTCCTAATTTTTCTAAAAATGGCATGTCACCGAGTTCGTGTCCATGCTTCTTATCTTTCCCCTTTGCAATAAGACCATTAGATCAATGTTGCTACTTGTTTTTCCCAAAAGAATTATGAATTATAATATGGAATACACTTTTACCTTTAGTTCATGAAAAAGCTGCAAATAATGGCATGTTCTTCAAGTCTATATATGACGGCCAAACTATGGTTGAGCAATTGACTTGTATTTCTCAGGAACATCCTATAGTCTTTATCAAACGAGGTAGAGAGTGAAACATAGACCAATAAAGAAATTAGTATCTCGAGTTCCTAGATGAACGATACCTCTTATCCCTGCTAATATCTTGAAATTCAAGAAAGCAACTTATTTAGTCTTCATTACATCTTGCATGTTTTTAGCTACCATCTAATAATGGTAGCTTATAGTTATTGCTAATAAATGAATAATTAGCTAGTCATTATTATCAAAAGGACAAAGATGTTCCAGAAATGTTTGTAAGATTAAAAACGTTTTGATTGAAATCATCATTTTTTTCTTTAATTAAACTCATTTACTAATTTTCTCTTTTATCTCTAATCCTTTATGTTCTTTCTTTTAAATTTGAAATGGTTCATGTAGATAATGGGATGCAAGTCTTATGCTGAGTTTGCAATTCGTCCAAACATGGCTGCATCACCTGATGTTGCCATGTCTTTCTTGCTTAACTTGAGCAAAAGTGTTAGATGTAAAGCTGATGAGGTATTAAAATGATACTTATCATCCTTTTGTTTCCTACATATAGTTGCAGACTCTCTTTCCGTGATTTTGTTTAATGTTACATGTTTATTTGCTGTATACTTGATCTTTTGTTGTTTAGGAGTTCAATATTATCCGAGAGTTCAAGAGGCAATATCTAAATCAAAGAGGTGCTGATTTAGAGCCATGGGATGAGACATTTTTTACGGGAATGATGAAATCTTCTGCATATGGCTTAGAATCATCAGTATGTTAAGTTCCATTGACTACTAGCTTTTGCTAATTTATAATGATAACATTTACATGTTACTTTTTGCAGTAGCTTGTCGCATCATATGCCTTTCATTTTACAAAGCATTAGCCATTTAACGAATATGTTTCTAGTCTTTTTGAACTGCAGAATGCCTTACTGACAATGTCTAATTTCGAACCATGATTTTACTTTCACTATAAGTTAGATACTGTCACATTTATGTGACTTTTTTCATGGATGCTTTGCCTTTTTGAGGCTTTGAACAATAAAATTCTGCACATTTGTATTTTTTTCATTAGTGTTCTGCTGTTGCTTTATCTGGAGCAGGTCCTTTCATCGTACTTCTCCTTATCTGGGTGCCTTGAGGGCTTAAAAGTACTAGTTCAGGCATTGTTTGGGGCAACATTTTATCAAGTTCCCATGTCTTCTGGTGAATCTTGGCATCCAGACGTAGTGAAGCTATCTCTTCATCATCGTCAGGAGGTATACTTGCATTAGATCATGACTGTTGCTCTATCTATGCTTGGTTGCATAACTTTTTGTGAAAAACAAACGACATGCCATCTCTAAAACCCACATAGTATATGTGCTGATTTTTATTCTCTCATTTCTTCAATTATTACATATTCTACTCAATCTGATGTTTCAAATCAATGTTTTAGACCTAAACTAAATTTTGTGTGATAGGATCTTGTTTGAGCTACAGTTAATATGGTGATGTGGCATGATTATCATTCCAAGTCTGTATTAAGTATCATGGCTTGCATTAAGACCCACTCTGATGTGCAAACTGTGTTTGATACTTGAAGCTGTAGAGAGTCAAGAACCTATTGGCAAACTCATTAAAAGGTTGACTTTCTGAGGAACTTCTGTCCATTCTTTTCAAGCACTTTTATACCATTAGCAAAGGGCCTCACTATAGCATATTGGTCCATTTATTATCCTTTTCAAAGTGACACAAGACTTGCATTTTGTATTGAATAATGTGCATGCAGAAATTAATTGATACTTCTTTTAAGGCCGAGGATATGGAAAAAAGAATCCTACTTATTTTACAATGTAACAAGAGTGTTGCAAAATGAATAAAGACGAGAGTGAGCCTCGGTGACTGATCAGAGTCTTCTCATAAGTCTTATGACTTCTATTAAGGTTATTCACTGATTTTTGTTTGATTAGTGACGTTAAGTTCATTAGAGCTAAATGGTGGAAAAAAATCCATATAACCAACCCAAAATTTTTGTATGCTATGCTATGCTATGTTATTGTTGTGCTTAGATGAGGTTCTAAGCCAATCAATAAATTGTGTCGCAAATTGTCTAACTCTATGTTTCACCCGATTTAGATGATAAGGAGCACACATCCTTCCCAAATGTGAAACTACCTCTATACTTTGAACCCTAGCCATGGTTAGGCTTTTTGCTGTCCTCAAACCTTCCCTCTCCAACTTCAAAATTTTCCACTTCCTTTTGACTGATATCTTTTCCATTCAATTCTCTTTGTCTACTCTCATTCTGATGATTTGTATGACCACCATCCTTATCATCTTTTCCTACAGTCCTTTCTCTTCCTTTTTCATATCATTTCTTTTCTATGTCCAAGATTATTGCTTGATAATTTGACAGCAGAATAATTTGTCAGCTTTCGTGTCGACTTAGAGCACATCCTTTAATGCTTAAAACATATACAAAGGCAAGTCTCAATCTCTCTTAAATTTGATGTTTCAATCAAGGATTTTAATTTCGAATGATATCGCCTGTACCGGGCGGTACCGTCAATTGGGGTTGTTTCCGCTTTGTTACTGCCCGAAATCGATCGATAACAATCGATTTCGACTGTCACCGCTCGCTACCGGGCGGTATTAGCTGAAGAAGGGGGAGAAGAAAAGAGAGAACCTGGAGATCTGGTACGAAATTACGAACCTTGGTTTCAACTATGTTTCATCTTGTTATTGGAGCTATTGTTGTTGGTAGCATTGTCATTTGAGGCGAGTTTTATAGAATATGGTAAAGAGTAATATTTAAGCATGTCATTGAACTATCCTATCACTGCATGAATGTTCTAGTATGCTTCTTAACGAAGAATGGAGCTCGGGTAAATCCTATTCAGATATGTTGACATAATTATCAATCATGACATGGACTATATACCCCTCTTCAATCTCATAAACTGTAATATCTATTAACCCTTTTATATTACCTTGCATCTAGTATTTAATTTGATGCATTACCGGACATGTGGTAGATGATCCTTCTGTTACAATGTACCTTGAAATTGATGATGCTCATTTTATTGGGACCAGATCAGCTGTCATAGGCAAAGGTAACTTTGTAGAGATTTTGTTATTTTCTTGAGGACTTTGTTTATATGCAAATTTCCTTAATGATAGCTCCTCAGAATCTCACATGGCATAGAAAGATATATCTCACGGCCATGCTTCTAAAAGGTAGTTTGTAGTAAGTGTCAAAGCTGTGTTAGGAGGTATGCATTAAAATTAAACCACTTTGCGGTTACTTGCTTATATCCCTTTTCTTCTTGTGCCTATAATAATCTTGGTCTAGATAGGATTGCCATGAGATTAATATCAACAAAATCAAGTTTTGACCTCTCCTGTTCAAAGAGCTAAAGAAGCCGCTAATGCCTCTATCCAGTTCATATGGGACTGAATGTCTCACATTAGCACACTCCTTTCTATCTTATGAACACCGAATTCTGCACCATTGCCATTGGTCTGCCTCAGACTGTAGGACTTGCTGAATTGGGATGGACCAGCACCATTAGTGCTGCCACTACTGTTATCACTTCCACCATCTTGCTTGAACTAGGATATGCCAAATTGATATCTGTACCTCATGTTGTCCTTGTGAATGTGATAGTACTCCGACAGTGGATGAACCCCGGGAGCATGCTCAGGTCCTATGTCTACATTTATGGTCATAATGAAAGTTGTGCAACCCACACCAGCTATATGGCTATGCAACATTACATATTTTTGTTGTGTATCAGTAGGCTGATGAGAATTTATCTAGATAAAGAAAGAGGAACATGTACATATTATTGTAACCCTGAATAATTACTGCTTGTGGTTACGTAAACAGAAGTAATACATAATGAGTCCCTTGATCTTCGATAATAGGAAACCTAAATCATTACAACCAGAACAAAGGTGTTCACTCATGTATATTTAATTTGTTACACAATCATTCTGTTCAACAGGTTCCTATGCAGGATTAACAAAATTTCTTAAATTGAATCAAAATGCCAAATTAAGATCTCAGAGGTCTGTATAAAGAAGGGCCTTATTCAATCTAAATGCACTGCCATGAGCAAAATAAGAAGACGTGGAATGTTTAATATTCAGAATAATTATGTTTAAATTCTACAAGCCATAGATTATATGAAAAATGTCCCTTTTCATCATTGTGTTTTGGTCATTAAAATTTATCTCCACATCTTGTTATTTGTTACCTTGTTTCTCATTTTGCACGTGTTATGCTATTTCTTTTCTATTGTTTAAATTTCAATAAGTCTGAAAAACACTAAAAAATGAAGCTTTATGTATCAGCTCTTCACTATGCTTGCTTTTAGTGGCACTATTGCTATTGTCTGTTATATTACATGGTAAAAAGTTAAATGCCTAATTTCACTTTCACATACATCACTATTCAAACAACCTGGCTATTGTCTCCTTTTTAGGTTTTTACTCATGAAATAGTTATGTTTATTTTGCATGTGTTTCATATATTGCTTCCATATGAAGAACTAAAGCATTTTTATATTGTACACAGGGTGATTTGGGCTTCCTGTATCTTGATCTTTATTCGAGAAAAGGCAAATATCCAGGTTGTGCTCATTTTGCAGTTAGAGGAGGGCGCCGGGCTTCTGAGACAGAATACCAGCTTCCTGTATGACCTGAATGTTTTTTTGCATCTTGGACAAACTTATATTAGTTTCACATTTGGCTATAGTCTTACAGCTTTTATTGTAAGAAATCCTAGTGTTAGATCTCTTTCTCTAATGCTATTATCTTGATGAATTTTATGCATTGAACTTCCTTTCTCCAGTCTAACTGATTTTTTCATTGTACTGGATAATGTATGTTTGCTTAGTAATGTCAGATGACTTGCTTCACTGAAATTCTCTCTGGTTATATCCTTTAATCATTCAGTGGTCTTATTTTTTTCTGTTCTCATTGATTTCACTATGTCTGGATATTATACTTAAATCATCCACAAGGTAGGTGCTCTATATATTGACATTTGACCATCGTTCATGAGAAAAAAGACCTAATTTAGTGCTAGTAATAATTTGCACTGGGCCAACATATGTCTAAGAATTATATCTATTAGTATGCTAAATACAAATTGAATGCTTTTTGGGCTTTCCCGTCACACCTGATTTTTTTTAATGTCTTTGTTAGGCTCAGTTTTTAGTACAGGAAGGCACCAGTAAGCTCATTGTGGAATTATTTAAAAGCTTCATACTGATCAATTGTTGATGTTTCAAGAATTTATTAACTAATATATTTTGTCTGTTAGTCAGCTATCCCGGAATCTTTAACTTTCAAATATTATTGGTACAGGTTGTTGCTTTAGTTTGCAATTTCGTTGGTTCACCTCTATCATCAACTTCAAGGCTCAACCATTTTGATGTTGAGACACTTTTTCATGAGTTTGGTCATGCTCTTCATTCTCTTCTTTCGAGAACGGTATTATATATTGGTTCAGTTTATACTTACCATTTATGTAGTTTCTTCATATGCATTAATCTATCTTGCTGTCTTCCTAGGATTATCAGCATTTCTCAGGTACCAGAGTAGTTCTTGATATAGCTGAAATACCTTCAAACCTTTTTGAGTAAGTACAAGTTAGTTCTGTTGTCATTTATGTTTTCTGCAATTTTTCACATTTAAAGGACTGATTCTGAAATAGTAATTTGCACATATAGATTATAGTCATCAATATTCAATTTCAGGCAACAAATCCAAGTAGACTTGAATATGTTACTACAGAGTGACTGATCTGTGCATTGTCTCAGCTTTTTTCAATTCTTCAAAGACACAGGATTCTACTTGTATACTCAATAAATATGAGAAGATTTAATTAATTTTGCTTTTTCTAATATGCTATGATAAACTACAATAGTTAAGATATGAGTTATAAATAATGTGTTGTAAATTTATTAGTCACTGTCTCGAAGTAATCATCATCTCAAAATCCTTAGTTTAAATTAATTGGTTTCAATTCAGTATTTTTCTCTTTTTCTTTGCTTGAATATTTATTGGTTCTATGCCAATTCAGCATTTTCTCTTTTTCTTTGCCTGAATATTTATTGGTTTTATGTAGTTAGCTGTTTAGGTTCACATCTATGGAAGTATTCTTAAAGTTCTGAGTAACATAAGTTAGAACATTGTTTTCAAGGTCCTTGATCTATTCATTTGATGCTTGATAGGACTTATCTTCTTTTTTTCCCAATAGGATAGCAACAAGAGAGAATAAAGGGGATGGAAAAAAGAGAATAGAGATAGTTAAGAATTATAGAGAAAATATATTAACAACTCAAATTATGATGCCTCTTGGGTTTACAATATATTTATTTAGAGAATGTCACCCTTATTCACTCTTATTTCTAAGCTATTTGGGAATAAATTAGAGCTTACATACAAGGAAAATTTATCTCTTATCCTTCACAAATCCCTCTTAAATAGGACACTAAAACCTTTTAAGATACTTGTCTAATTAGGAAAAATAGCTAGCCTTACCTATACTATAGTCATATTAATGTTTTTAGAAGCTAATTAAACTCTAAATTGGAGTCTAAAATTCTTCCAAGATTGCCTCAAGAACAATGATGAAAATGCGTCTAAATTTTCAATCCAAATAAGACTTGGGTATCCCTATGAAAGGAGGTCAGTCCTCTTAAAGAGTTGGTGTGGCTCGAATTGGATCTTGAGTCATGTTTGGTCTAGTCTCCAAGCTTGATCTAGATATGATTCAGTTCCATCCAATTAGAAAAGGTCATGCTAGCATCCACCTTGAATGGTGTCTGTTTACTATCAAATCAGAAACATAATTGGAAGGAGTGATGATAAGGTTTGTGGATATTATTAAAAGTGTCATTAGGAGGTGCTGCTTGGTCTGAGGATCCACTAATGAGCCCACTTAAGTGTTGTAGGGCCTAACGAGGATTGAGATAAACAATTTAGGCTCAGATTTCTATTGAATACTCTTGATGATGTCTTGGTTTGGAAATAGTCTTATGCGTTAAGAAGTCGTATTTTGGGCACCTGGATTTTGTTTCATAGCAAGTCTTCATCTCTCAAATCTATCTCATCACTTTGGTGATAGTTCAGAACTCTAGGAAAGTAGTACTTTCTGGCATCCTACTTTCTTCACATGCCGGGATGGGAAGATGTCATAAAAATATAACAAATTATAAATATAAAATATATATTATAAAGATCCTAAAAAGTTGGTGTTAATGATGTTAGAAATTAATACTGAATCGTTGGAATAACAGGCAATGAATCTTGTATTGCTAGACGATTGGCCACCCACTTGGCCTATTCCCCTCGTAAACAACCTCCACCAGGGCTGTTTCAATGGTTGATGGTGTTATCATGATGGACTTGGTGTACCTTCTGTTTTTAAGGATAAAGAGGTATAGTTGTCTGCTTTCTTTTGTTGGTTAAACCAACTGATATTTCAGGTACTATGCTTGGGATTACCGTGTTTTAAAGACATTTGCTAGACATGAAACAACTGGTGATGCAATACCAGAAAAGTTGGTGAAGGCAATGAATGATTCACGGAAAAGATTTTCTGCAACGGAGCTGCAGCGTCAGGTATTCACTTGTTTAACTTTTTTTTTTTTCTTTTTGTGTTTCTAGTATGCTTGCTACCAGGTTTGGAAAAAAAAAAGCAACCAAAAGCTTTTTTTAAAAACAAATACTAAGTTCTTATGTACCTTGTGTATGGTTTTTGTCATTCTGGTTTCTAGATGAGTACTAATTTTCTGCATTATCTTTCTATCTAGATATTTTATTCATTAATTGATCTAAAACTCTTTGGGGCACAAAACAATGATTCAATGGATACTGTATCGATGGTTGCTGACTTGAAACTACAGCACACCAGCTGGAACCATGTTGAGGGAACTCATTGGCACACCCGTTTTAGCCACCTTATAAATTATGGTGCTGGTAAGCATGTTGCATTATTTAATGTTTATATACAAGTGCAACTGCTGTCTAGATTTTTCATGCAGTAAACTATAGTTTGAATCTGTGGCCATAGGTTATTATAGCTACCTATATGCAAGGTGTTTTGCGGCAACAATATGGTGGGATACATGCCATGAGGACCCTTTGTCCCCCGACACTGGAACTGCCCTTAGAGAAAAATTCCTTAAGCATGGTGGAGCAAAAGATCCTCTAAACTTGTTGAAGGATTTCATTGGTGATGGCATTTTGAGTTGCAATGGTGGTAGCATCCCTGATGCAAGCAGCCTTTGTAGAGAAATGGATTTGTGAGATTTTCTACTCCATCAAGGCACCACGGATGGTGGCATAGGTATCTTGATATCTGCTTCTAATTCAACATTACAAGATTATAGCATTTTATGAGAGCTATGAACGAGCCTCTGCGGCCGCACCATATCTGCTAGTTTCAAATGCAGGCAGATACTAGTCTAAGTGTGTGGCGCTTGAGTAAACTGGTAGTTAGAACTTAATTTCGAGATTAATGGTCGAATCGGAACCAGCTTGCAACTGGGAAATCATTACTGCATGTGAAGTGGTATACAATGCTCAATGGCTAATTTCATCCTATATGAAGACTGAACCATATTTTTATTGTCAAAATAAACATGAGGTTTTTTAATATTTTGTACTTGGTTATATTTTGGTATGGTATGACTTTATTCCCAATTGGTGTTGAACTGTTTGTCCCTGATATTGTAGGAACATTTTTTCAGTATTATGGATTAGTAAATTTACAGTATTTCGTGTTCTTTTTCTAGACTGGACTTTCCAAGAGGGAAACCAGATTGGATAAATCCTACTGGTACGAATTACCATGTCCTGTCGTGCTCTGAGCTACCTATAAACCGATAGTATCTAATTGGTAAAATAGATTTATGTAATATGTAGAGATTTTTTGTATATATGTGAAGTTATTGGAGATGGTTCTTTTACATGGTAAATAGGGTGTTTTTGGCACATTTACGTCGTGCTCTGAGCTATACATATCGATTAAGGTTGTTGTAATCTTATCGAAGGTTAAAGGTTTGAAATTTTATTCAATGTGTTTTTGAAAGTTTCAGTTAGCTTAAGGGTTTTTGTTGGAAATATCCTCAAACGTATCTTTTTTTTTTATGTAAGATTCATTGCTCCCCTAACTGTTTTACACTAGATTTATGACAAGTTCAAATATTTGATTTCAATTAGCTTCAAACTCTTGATCGTGTCAAACAATCAAAATTTAGTGTAAAACATGTTATAAGAAAATTGAGTCAAAATTTCTTGGGATTATCCAAGGACCTTGCCTTCCCACCTTTGACCCTAGTTTCAAGATCGACAATTGGGAATCTTGTTTCTGGTCTTTGAAATATTCGATACAACTTTGGTTGCAACATGTCTTTTTAATGATTTGGGATTTCATCCTCCTTCAATTAACCCTTCAATAGTTCTCTTGCGTTTGGAAGTCTTTACTAAACTCATTAGGTCGGTAAGAATGGTGAAAACTAGAAGCAACCCCCCAATCATGCCCCTCCCGACGTCGTCCGTATCTCCGTTGTTGATTCTCAATTGGTCTTGCTAGAAACCGCTCAAGAAATGGTGAAAACTATTGTATCTTTTTGACTCGCAGAGCTTGTGTGGCAAGAAACAACTCCCCAATCATGCCCCTCCCGAGGTTGTCCCTATCTCTGTTGTTGATTCCCAGTTAGTCTTGTTAGAAATCACTCAAGAAATATCTTCCCCTAACGTTTCCTCATAGAAGAAAACAAGCTTCCCCCCACGAGGGTTGGAAGTACAACCCTGCAATAGAATTACCTCACTATAAGAGAGCAATTTTTTGAGATGGATCAATGCTTTCAAGATATGAGGTGATAAATCAAACAAGGGAAAGACAATGTCTAAATTCTCTGTGTGGCTCTCATTCCTACAAATTCCATTTAGACTTTCAACGAGATCTTAACCGCGACTGACCAAGTCATGACCTTCGAAGTGTACAAAATAATAGATGCACTCACTTGTCAATGTGTTGAGCTTTCTTGATAACGTTGCCATATACTACCAGCCCGAGAGTAATACATACACCTTCTTTCGAACTTAAATCAATTATTTAAACCATCATACCAAGAAGTTGGAGCTCAACTGTGTAAGTTGCAAAAGAGGACTATGACCTCTTCATGGAGGAAAATGAAACCCTTGACGAAGTGAATCACTAAAGGCATTGGGATGATATTGAAACCGCGCCCATGGGTCCTTATCTACTACTAGGCCTTCATCAACGATCTCCAACCTTCACATTGTTTTGGTCGGTTGTCAAAAATTTATCGACTATCTAGTCGAGGAGTAGTTGCAAAAGGCCAAGTGTTATATTATCTAATTGTAGGAAAGAAGAAGCCAGATGGAAAAAAGCTAGTGAAGGATGAATGGCCTCTAAATTCAAGGAAGTAGAGACTTAAAACTTTTCAAGAGAGTTTACACATTTTAAATTATAAGGTTTCGTGTTTTTATGAAGCAAGCATAAGCAAGATATTTATAAACCCCAAATGAATTAGAAAATAAAATTAAAAATTTAAATCTCTCGATTTTTGGGTATTGACGGTACTATCATTGCATAGAACCTAGGAACTTAGGCTTTGGCGGTACCACTACCTACCTAGGTGGTACTACCACCTGATAGAGCTTGGGAACTTGGCTCTGATGGTACCACTGCCTGCTTGGATGGTACTATCATCGGGATTCCCGGAAATGTTTTCTAGCTCTCAAGCGATACCACTGCTTGGGCTTGATGGTACCACCTCCCAACCCAAACCCAAGTCACTAAATTGACCTTCCAATAGGCCCAATTCGACCCTAGTTCAGACTTAATGGGCTCCTAATCAAGTTAAAAAGATTATGACTTAAAATCAACTCAAATAGAGTTTTAATGACTTCGATCAAGACTTAACAACTCTAATTACAATCATAAAACCTTCAACACATTGTCTGGTATATCATTTGTTCATCCGACACTTCATCCGAACCTCTAGCACATCATCCTTTCCTTCGGTGTATTGCTTGATCCATTAGTATATTGACCTCCCACAACATCCGATCTTCTTACCACAATACCCGATCCTTTTGATCCGATGTCTAATCTATAACATAATGCTCTCCGACCCAATGTCCGATTCTCCTGCTTCAATGATTTGCTTTTCGATTGTTCAAGTATATAATCGAAGTTTCTTTAACGTCACTTATCTCATATGCTTATTAGTTCATAAACTCATCAATTGATTTCATCATCAAAATTCGGGATTCAACATATTGATATGTTTAGCCTTAATTTAATCATTAGGCTCGTACATATGCTTAATTTGGTTACAATTAAGTTAGTATTTGGGCTTTAAATGGGCCATTACGAGGCTAGGTTATTTGTTAGTTTTTGAATTATCTTGGGCTCTTGTTGGGATTTGTAGCCCAGTATGAGCAATGGTACCACATGTAGGGAAATCTAGGGGCGACATCATATGCGCAGCAAAAGAACATAAAATAAAAATCTCAAATTTTCCAAAGGTGTTCATCGTCATACAAAAATTAATGCAAAAAAATCTGCGAGACTGAAAACCACGTGTGAGATAGTTGTGTTACTTATAGAGATCGTATATCCCTGAATTCCTATAGATCTGTGGGAGAGGATGAAGGAGGTTAAGCATCCTCCTCTCTAGCGGTGATCTACACGGTAGGGCCTACGAAAACACTCCTCAAATTGTTGTTCAAATCTGCACACCTACTATTTAAGGAGGAGAAGGAAAAAGAAGAATATGATATGACAACAAAAAAACCTAGCTTATGGCCATTTGGTTTTCTCCTATTTATAGAGCCCCCCTATCAATTTAACCCTAATGGATCATGTCCTATTGGGTATTGGATCTCCGTCCAACTACTTAAGCCTCTTAGATTAATAGATCTCTATTTAATAACTCATTAGCTCTTATTGAATCTCTAGGATCCAATAATTCAGTGGCTTATTGGATATCCAATTAGATAGGAGCTCCGATAAATATCTCATATCTGAACCTCTATCTGTCGCAACACCTAATGTATACATGTGATCCTCTAAGCCCAATATCAAGCTGGTCGTGAGTCATATATATCAAAACTCCTTATAGCTTAGTAAATTATTATCTCCATAATAATTCACTCGACTCATCGACTGCGGACATAGGCCACTACGTCGCAATCCCCAAACAATATAGGGGAATCTAATCCTTTGAATTTATTTATCCTCAGTTACCATGTACATATAGTTCATCATCCATATAATATCCCATAGACCATATACTGGGTATGGTGCTATCAAGCCCATATAATTTCTCCTTGAGTCCCGCTCTAATTGGATTCTTTTGGAGAACTCTTTCTCTCTCAATTTGAATGGCCTTAACCAAGGATTTTTTGAGCAAAAACACATGAGATATTTTTCTTATGATATCAAGAGTTGATGATCCTCTATTGATACTCAATAGCCCTTGTAAGGTTGGTTGTCACTCCCGATGACCGGTTGTACTAGATTTGAAACTTTCAAACATATACATTTGGTATCAAAGAGTGAAGTGCTCATACATGACATCCTTGGTGTCTCAAGTCTAAGGATCAGGTACACCAATCAGACGATGGAATCGTTGTCTGACAAAGATGTATCATTAACCATCGAACATTCTATGAGCGAATCAATAAGTGAACTCATTCTTTAATGAGCACCTGCACTATAGCCATAGTGTCCCCATATAAGTAGTTATGAGACCAACCATCTCCATCATATAGATGAGTATACAATACATCAATCTATCTGGTTATCTCGATGTCCCTCTCGAGTAACTTATGACCATGATTATTTAGGGTCTGTGTTTAAAGGTGAATCGGTCTCATTATCGCGATCTCATCATGATCTAATTCTCATTACACAGATCCATGGACATCACAATATGTTTATGCACCAAGCAATATAAAGTAAGAAAATATCATAATAATAATAAGCAAAAAAACTGTGTCATATCACATGTGTCATCACTCACGTGATTGACTTATAGGGCACTTATGACTAGCACTGCACATCCCTAGCTATGGAGCTCGAGCAATGTTGTTTCGACTATTTGGCAATACAACTTGCATTCATATTTTTGGGTACTTTTTCTTGATTTACTCCATGTTCTTGGGTGTCTAGGCCCTATTAGAAAATCTGTAATAGCATCACATACATAACAGAGGAATAAAAAAATAAAATCTTATAATTTCTTATTGAAAAAGGAGGTTTCATCGTTGTGTGAAAATTGGTGCGTAAAACCCCGTAAAATAAAAACTTACACATATAAGAAAGATGTGTTACATAGAGAGATCATATATCCCTGAAAACTTACAAATATGTGGGAGAGGATGAATGAGATCAACTGTCCTCCTCTCTAGTGATGTTCCACACAGCGAGAGCTGTAGAAACGCTCATCAAATTGCTGCACAATTTTTCTTTCCACACGCACCATGCGAACAAGGAGTCAGCCCTTCTTGCTGTTCACACACCCTAAATAGGGGCTGTTAGCTGAGGAGGAGAGGGAGAGAGGAGAATAGGAGGTGGCAGCTAAAATGGATCTAACCTATAGCTCTTTGGTTTCCTCCTA